CCAGCCAAAAGTAATGCTCCCGGGCAAGTATCATGGAGTGGATGCATTCAATGTCTCTTGTAGAGTCATAGGGTTCATTACTGGGAATCAGCCGACGGGAATTGTCCCAGCGCGCGGTCTTTTCGGTCTTTTACCTCTACAGTTGTTTGAGGCTAGAGGAGGCCTGACGAATGCGTTTCCAACGTTCCCTTTGGCATTTTCTCTTCATAGACGGTTCACTTGGCGAATTTTCTTCCACATTTCTGCAACATCACCTAGGCTTTTTATCGCGGACCGTGCCTTTAAGGAAATCTTGCTTTGCAAAAGGAATTCTTGAATACCCTCCTCGCAAGAGATTTGCAAAAAACACTTTTAGCAAACACGAAAAATCCTTCGAAGAACTCACATCGTTTTCAGTGATACCTTGCTGAACACATTCTTTAGCAACTTCTTTCAGTGCAGTTTCATTCCGGCCAGTGAGGCAGAGCTGGTACTTGTTCCTGGCGAACAGCAGTGCAGCCGCACGTCCGATACCAGAGCTCGCGCCTGGAATCATGGAGAACTGTCGGATTGATGCCAAGCTTTTGCACAATTTATTTTCCGAATGAGAGTGAGTAAGGCAACGAAATAGTTGTTTCCAAAAGGCCAAAAGGTTAAGTTGGAGTGCGAAATTGAAATCAAAACTCATTCCAGTCATAGCCAGTCAAAAGCAACACCAAAACTGTCAGATACCCTTTGCCATGATCAAAAGAATTTCTACCAAGTTTGACTACTTACCAGTTATTATTGCAACCGGCATGTTTCTGGGCGCCTCTAGGAATATCCAACACACGTCGGGCGCAGCACAGACGGCAGAGTAAGTGGAGGCGGAGCTAGATGTCTGACTCCCTACGGGTTTTACTGGTTACTGTAGCCTTGAAAACCGTTGGCGAGGGGCAGCACCTCGTCGGTACGACCACTCCAAGAAAAGGTACCTCTACGATTTCCCTCCCCCTCCGGCAATGCAAGGCTCACTGAACTTACATTAAACTTCAGTCCTTCTTGAAAAGTGCATAATATCATACGCAAATAATCTTTTGCCAAACGTGAGCAGTAATTGTGGTTTCTGTGGAAAGTTTGGAGGGGGGGGGAAGAGGGATATACGATATACGCTGAAGTCGTCATTAAGGGTAGACATTGTAATGAACCAGCGAAGAAGTGAGGGGCGGGGTTGGAATTCGAAACGAATACGTGCTACTTAACTTGTCCTTGAAAAAAAGTAGAGGAAATCCTCGAAAACGCTATAAATAAGACCCTTTTTGTGCAACAGATGAAGAATCGATGTGGATATCGGGCGAGAGGCCAGAGAAAGCAGCGAGAGAGTATGCAAACAAGCAAGACAGCAGATAAGACATCTATCAGTGGGCGGAGGTAAG